AAAGAGGAGTTGGAGAGTTGGAGAGAAGAGAAAAATGAGAGATAAAAAAAAGAAAAGAGGAATTGGAGAATGGGAAAGAAGAGAAAAATGAGAGATAAAAGAAAAGAAAAGAGGAATTGGAGAATGGGAAAGAAGAGAACAATGAGAGATAAAAGAAGATAAGAAAAGAGGAATCGGAGAGTGGGAGAGAAGAGAAAAATGAAAGATAAAAGAAGAGAAGAGGAATTGGAAAGTGAGAGAAAAGAGAAAAATGAGAAATAAAAGAAGGGAAGAGGAATTGGAGAGTGAAAGAGAAGAGAACAGAGATGAAAGAAGAGAAGATAAGAGAAGATGAATTGGAGAGTGAGAGAGAAGAGAACAATGAGAGAGATAAAAGAAGAGAAGAGGAATTGGAGAATGGGAGAGAAGAGAACAATGAGAGATAAAAGAAGATAATAAAAGAGGAATTGGAGAGTGGGAGAGAATAGAACAGAGATGAAAGAATAAAAGAGAACAAATCGAGTTAAAAGGAGAGATATGCGAATCAAAAAAAAGAGTAAAGGAAAGACGGTAACAAAGAGAGAGGTTAGAAAAGCAAGGGAGATAGGTGAATGGAAGAGAGAAGAGAGAAGAGAAAGAAGAGAAAAAGCAGAATGGACGGACATACTGACCGGGAGGTAAGAGGGACTGCGAGCTGACTGGCACTTGGGGCTGCAGCCGCCTGGAGCCCAGGCCCTCGTGCAGGGCCGGCGAGGGGAACAAGGGAGCGGGCAACTCGAAGACATTCGGCGGCGACTGAGGCGACAGTCCCGAGGGCGGACTGAAAGAGGTGAAGCCGCTGCTGCTGCTGCTGCTGCCGCCGACGTCTCCGGCCATGTTGCCGGGGCAACAGAAGAGACCCGCCGGGGGCGCGGCCTCGGCGAGTTGCGTCAGCCCCGAGCCTGCCACGGGCGAGCTGGCTTCGTGCGGACCCGGACGCCAGGCCAGGCAGTCGGGCCGCCCGGTCAGCGGACCCACCTCGTCAACCGCCTGCGCGCCGAAGCCGGCACCCACGGCCGGATTGGCCAATGGCGTTGCGCTCGTGAACGCCACTTCGCCTTGAACAGCCGTGCTCAGGCAATCGGCAACACCACTGTCGAAGGTGAAACTGTCACTGCCGATGCCCGTGTTGTTGTTGTTGTTGTTGTTGTTGTTGTTGGTAATGGTGGTGGTGGTGGTGGTGGTTGTTGTTGTTGGGGTAGGGGGGTTGAGGGAGAGCGAGACAGGCGGCTCGCCCGGCCAAAGAGAGAAACGGAGGCAGGAGTCCATTTCACCGACCGGCCAGTCGTCGAGGTGCTTGGCGGCGCAACTCCAAGTCGGCTGGTGCAGGAAGCCGTGGGAGGAGAGAATGGAGGACATGACTTTGCCGGCGGAAGGTCGGCGCTACAGAAGGCTGGTGGCAACGACGAGCCGACTAGGCGGAGGAGTGTGGAGAGGACGGCTGAACGGAAGAGGACATGGCGAGTGGAAAGGGAGAG